GCGGGATCATGATCATTGGGCAAGAAACCAGCGGCAGTCACCACAGAGGCGAAACGCTCGAACCAGGCGCGAGGGGCCTGTTTAAGACCATAGAAGGAGCGACAAAGTCTACAGACCATACCATCAGGAGCATAGTACCCCGGTGGTGGCTGCATATAAACCTCCTCACGCAACTCGCCATTGAGAAAGGCAATCTGGACATCAAGTTGAGAGATAGACTAATGACGAACAAAAACCACAACAAAGAGAGTGCAGACAGTGGTCATGTGGGCCACAGGAGCGAATGTCTCATCATAATCGCGTCCCTGCTCCTGCTGAAAACCACTAGCCACAAGCCGAGCTTTGTAGCACTCAAGAGAACCATCGGAGCGAGTCTTAATCTTGTAGGCCCACTTGTAGGTGATGGGACGAACACCGAAAGGAAGGGAAACCAGATCCCATGTGCCAGAGCGCTCAAGGGCGGCAAGCGCTTCGGCCATCGCAAGCTACCATTCGGGCTGAGTCATGGCAGTCCGATAGGAAGTGGGCTCAGTAATAACAGAGAGATCGTACCTATCAGGAGAATAGCGATCAGGCGGGGGGCGAGGCCGAGCATGGAGGTTATGAACCGGGGGAGGCGTGAAGGAAGGCGCACTAGAGGTGGAAGGCGCATCAAGGGAAGCATCCTCAGAACGAGGGCGACGAGTATAGTGGAGAGGAAACGGTGAGAGAGAGCGACGGACTAGAGATGATGGTGGAGAGGTAGATGAGGAGGATGGGGAAGAGGGTGTCGGTGGTGAATGGGAATGGATGAGAGGTGCCGGAGGAAGAGGTGAAACATGAGGCACATAGCAGGGTGAATCGGGAAGGAGAAGAAAAGAAATCTCGTCCGCGGAGAAGTTAGAGGAAGAAGGACGTGGGAAGTAAGAGCGAGACTTGTCAAAAGTCACATCACACGAGATGCGCAAGCGATGACCGACAGGATCCCAACAACGATAGCCCTTGTGCTTATTGCTGTAGCCAAGGAAAACACACTCGACTGACTGAGCAGTCAGTTTGGTGCGCTCGCGCAGGGCAAGAAGGACATAGCACACACATCCAAACATACGAAGAGCTGAGTAGTCAGGAGAACGACCAGTGAGACACTCCATAAGAATACCATCCTGCAGAGCAGTCGATGGCTGAATGTTGATGAGATAGGTGGATGCAGAAACAACCTCAGCCCAAAAGTGGGGTGGAAGGGAGGCGACAATCATCAGCACACGAGCCGTCTCAAGCAAATAACGATGCTTATGTTCTGCAACGCCATTCTGAGCATGAGCACCAGGACAGGAGAACTGAGCACCCTGTTCTGCGAGAAAACCACGCAACAGCTGGGAGATATACTCTCCAGCGGAGTCAGCACGAAAAATGTGAATATGCGTGGAAAACTGGGTGTAAACCATTGCAACAAATCGTTTGTATATAGAGAAAACCTCGCTATGAGTTTTCATGAAGTAGAGCCAAGTGTAGCGAGAGAAATCATCAATAAACAAAACATAGTAGCGATGACCATCTTTCGAATCAAAGGGAGCAGGACCCCAGACATTAGAATGAACTAAGTCAAAAGGACGCTGAGATACCGACTGACTGGTAGGATAAGGTAACTGGGTCTGTTTGCCAAGTCTACAACCATTAAAATGTAAAGAAACATCTCCAGATACAGACCCTAAGAGGCCCTGACGCACTAATGAAGACAAGCGAGAGCCACAGATGTGACCAAGGCGATGATGCCACTGCTGGAAGGACGCAGATGAAGAGGCAGCAACATCATGAGAGCTGACTAAAGTGGTGGCAGCGGAAGGAACACAAAGCTAGTCAACTTCTCAAAGGCCCTCTGACTCACGGCGTCGGGGGCCAGCACCAACCAAAACCTTAGTGCGACGATCCTGAATGGAATAAGAGTCGGTATCAAGAATGACACAACAACCAGAATCAGTAAGTTGGGCAGTGGAAAAGAGATTCATGATAAGACGAGGAACATGGGAAACACTGGGAATAGAAAATAATGGAGTGGAAATAATACCATGACTAGCAACATGAAGAGATGTGCCATCAGCAGTAAGAACATTAATAGGAGAATCAAGAGGGCGAAGAGAAGACAATGCTGAAGAATCAAAGGACATATGAAAGGAAGCTCAGTACCTGATGGTGTAGATGCCGGCGATGATGAAGTGGTGGAAGCAGTCACAGCAGCAGCAGAACCCGTCGATGAAGAACTGGATGAAGCCAGAAGGCGCTTGAGCCGCACAATGTCCTGGTCAGTGAGTGATGGAGTCGATGACGACACAGGAGTCCCACTGAAAGAGGAGCGCCTCTGGTTTCGCTGCTTCCGGCGACAATCAGACTCTGGGTTACCTGGCCTGGAGCAGTAGTCACAGAAGGTGTCGCGGCGCGACTGACCCTTCTCAACATAAGGAGAGCGGCCCACCCCCCTGAAGGTGTGGGCAGGAGAGGTGGAGCAGTGAGATGAGTAGACGACACAGGAGCTCAAGCAGCCAACACAGAAGGAACCACAAGCAACCCAGCAGATCGAAGGTGGGTCTCCTTCGCACGAAGCTCAGCAAGTACCTCCGAGATAGGGACACGACCACGGGCAAGCAAGTGAGCTTGTCGAGGCTCAAACTCGGCGCGGAGGCGAGATAAGAACTCATGGACACGCTGAAACTCCAAGTTAGACCGCGTAGTCTGACAACAACGGCAAGTCCCACAAATAACTGTCCGAAGAGAAGCTGACTCCAGATGACAGAGCACTGTGAATAGAACGCATCAACAGAGGAATCATCTTGCTGGAGTGCGTGCTCCTGAGCACCACAGATAGGTAGAGAGCATCACCAAAGGACTGATAGCGCTGACAGAGATAAGACCACATCGCTACAACTGTGCCAAGTCCCATGAACTCCGAAGCAAACTGAGGGAGCACACTCGCAGTGAGAACAATAGTAGCACGAGCATCATCATTGCACCACTGAGTCTAAGCAGACAGATCATCGCGGTACACAAAAAGAGCATCTGAATAAGTTGATACCTACTGGTCATAAGTATCAACCGCAACATCATCGAGAGCCTTGACTGCATCCTGGTCAGCCTGAGTAACATCAGCAGCAAGTACCGGCGGCACCGGTGGGATTGGGGCCACTGGCGCAACAGGGCATGGCGGACAGAGGACCTCGTCAGAGAGAACACCCCACAGAAGAAGACCACGCATATGGATGCGCATGAAGCCGACAAACTCAACGTAATTGGTGCCATCAAAGATCACTGAACACCTAGGAACAACGACATAGCTCGAAGAAGACATAAGGAGTTCTTCCTTTTCTTTTTCTTTTTTTTTCTTTTTCTTTTTGAAGTCGACGGACTAGGCTGCTCGATCTGGATCGAGCAAAGAGCGGTGGAGGCAGGGAAACGCAGATCGAGCCTCTGCTCGATCAAGGCAGGGAACCGAGCGGGGACCAGGGCCGGTCGACCGCGACCAGAGCTAGCCGGCCGGACGGGCAGCAGGGGAGGCCGAGGCCATGCCCGCCGCACTCCCCACCACACTGCAGGCCCACCTGCCGAGCCAGCAGTGCCTCCAGTCCACGCCGCGGCAGCCCGAGGCTGCAGCCGCCGGATCTAATGGAGCTGGCACAGCAGCCAGCCATCCCACCGTGCCGGCCCGCCCTGCCACCTTCATCACGCAGCCGCCTCCGCGCCCAAATCCCGACTGCCCGAGGCACCGCTGCGTCGCCCTGCGGGAGCGCCGCGCTCCCCGTCTGCTCGCCACGTCTCGCGTCGTAACCACCAGGGGAGGAGGGGCCCCGCCGACGCCGACGCCAGCCGGGCTTCGCCCAACGGCGCCTTTTAGCGGCGGCAAGGGAAAGGGGTGCGAGTGACGGCGGCTAGGGTTTCGCCCAGCCGCCCGACCTCGCCTTCTGAGTTGCCCCGTCTCTTCCCATGGTTTGAACTCCATAGAAACTTTGATGCCATTGATTCCTGATCTCGGCTGCTGAGCTGAACTAAACTGCAGTGCCATCGATGAGACCGCCGTATCCCTCAAGCAGGACTCGTCATCCAGCCATCCAAGCATGCTTGTACAGACATGTACTTGAAGCTACAATTGCTTATGATACTCAATGGCCTCGTCAAGCATAGATGCCCTGTTAGTCTGTAACCCCACAAAGGCACAAACCAATGGAAATACTAACCCGTAATTTTCTATCACGAACACGAACTCAGCAGCCCTAAATTCAGGGACAAAGAAAGAAATAGAAAAAAGGGGATGACCTTGCTGTAACGCCTTCAGTCTTCACTTTGATCCTGCTCCTCTGCAGCTGCGCCCCAATGAATGGAAGAGGATTGGTAGTTAGGTTTTACTGTTTCGGTCGTCCGCGCAACCCATCCCACGTCCATCACCAGCCAATTGCTGACCAAGCATTGGAGCAACCCACTCACTGTCCCCTGGCCCTATAATCGAACGGGCCCACCGGCCATCCAACCTTAGCCCGAGCTTGTGCGTGCAAAAGGGATGGACGGTTGTCCAGCCAACAGGGGTAAAAAGGCTAACAGTAAAACCACCAGTGGTGGAAAACGCCGCTCGTGCAGCAATTGCTCTAGATAGCCAGGTAGCAGAGTTTTACAAGTAGAATGCAGACACGCCGCATTGTAATTGGATATGAGGAACACATGGTTGCATAGGAATGATGGTGCAGTGAAAATGGAAGTCGCGATGCTCCATTTGAATTTCGCACAGGGGACCGCGATTTCATAGGAATCCTGGAAACATATTCAATTACTTTAATCCAGGATTTATTTCATGCAGATCTTCCAGAAGCTCTACAGAAGCCTAAACTTGCTTAGATGCTACTCCCTCCATCCGTGAGCTTGTTGCTAAATTTTAAATGGGAAATATGTGTAATTGCCATTGTTCCTATGTTTTCCTGCATGTGCTGGTTGCGAGTTTAATTGTAACATGTATTGTTTATTTTCTATGTACATGCATGAAGTTGTCTCGAGAACGGCATTCGTGTGCCAAAATAACAAAGGGCATTGCTGAGAAGACCAATTTGGTGTGGGAGCCATCGAAGGATTTGAAGCACCTGAACTTGAAGGTTCTGCAGATGTCCGGATTCGAGAAGGAAGACAAGGTGACAAACTACATAAGGCTAGTCATGGAGCCAACTGTGGGGTTGAAGAGAATTGAGCTGCATGGAGAAGAGCCATGCGAGAAATGCGATGACATTGATGACATTGACCCGATGAGATCCCACGTGGATGAAGCCCGCAGGCGTCGGATTAAGGAGCGACTCACACATGGGCCCTCCTCATCCGTAGAGATAATAATATGCTGATGGATCTGGTCAAGGAATGCAGCTGCCGGAGTGATGATTGTGTATGACTACTAGGTACTGATAGCCTGGTAATGCTTGATTGGTGTCGACCTTGGAGCTTAGCTAAACAGTGTGTACTGTAGTCTAGATGCATGCTTTTCTTTTTGAGATTGGTCTCTTTCTTTTTAGCATGCACTAGTACAAATGCCAGTATCTTGCAACTGGCGTAGAAACTCTAAAACCTGATCCATGTGCTATTATATACCATAGTTTATATTTAATTCTGATAAACATTTGCTATTATTGTTTTTCAGAGTATGAAGTTTGGACGTTAGAAAAGCTTTCTTAGCGTTCTTTATCTGATGAAAGAGTAGTGGTTCGTGGGATAATTTGTGGATCATTATTCTTTTTTGGAAAAACATGAATATTCATTTTCTTAAACTGAATGTTTTATTAAAACTTGAATGTTTTTAAGGAGAACATTATTTGGACTTTTTTTATTGGAAAATTTTCCCAGTTTTTAGAAAGTGTGAATATATATAGAACTCTGCACATTTTTAAAACTAGTTTTACTATGTTGATTTTTTTAGACAGAGTTTATTGCTTGGTTGGGAAGATTCTAATTTATTTTTTCATTATAGGCTTGGCCCACATAAAGCACTTCACGTACACACTTCATTTACAGAGAGAACACACACTCTCTTTTCCTATATACTACTATAAAAAAGGGCACACACACGAACTCATTTCCCCTCACCCGTTTCCCATTCTCAAGTGTCCCCTGCCACACAGACCAATTCTCTAGATTTCTTTCCCTAATTGCTATTATATTCTTTGTTTTATTTTAGTTTTGCATCATCATGTCATCATGCCATTAAAACGCAAATAAATAAATTGCTTAGAGCTTTGATCTATTTAAAATAAGGGAATTCACGTGATGGTTCTCTTTATAACCCATGAACATATCCTCCCAATATTATTAGGGAGCTAGAATAAAACATCCCATTAATTTAGGAATCACTCATAAACACACTTGCAATTGAATTTCCTTTTGATTCCAAATATTCTAAATCCATGTGATATTACCGAAAAAGGCTTTCGCCCCGCTTTATAAATAAAGCAAACCGCCCAGAGCACACATATAAGATCTAGTACAAAACACACACACCCAAGACACACATGAGATCCGAAGGTTCTGCTGAGGGCACAGCTCAACAAGCCCAGAAATAAACACATAAAAAGGCTAAAGCCAAGGCGAGCGCTCGTCAATCATCTAGTTAGGCTCTGGAGGAGGCGGAGGGGGCGGCGGCGACAGGCGGGCGGCCATCGAACGAATGTCGGCGATGAAGGCGGAGATGGCGTCCCGGTCCCGAGGGCGGCTAAGCGATCGCCAGAGCTGCAAGAAACCAGACAGTTTGAAGAGAGCGTCAGTAGCCCGACGAAGCGGAGTGCGTTGAATCACAAGCTTATTGCGAATCGTCCAGATGGTCCACGCGAGGGCCCCAATCTCCAGCCACCTAATGTGGCGAGTGGGCAAGGGGGAGGTCCGGAGTTCGTCGAAGAGGTCAGGTAAGTTGGTGTGGCTCCAATTACCACCGACCGCCTCTCTAAAGCAACTCCACATAAACTGGGCAGAAACGCAATTGAAGAAGATATGGTTCGAGTCCTCGGGGGTACTGCAGAGCGGGCACAAGCCGGAGCCCGGACCATTGCGCTTGCGGACCTCACCCCCGGACGGGAGCCGACCGCGGATCCACTGCCACAAGAGGATCCAGATATTCAGAGGAACGCAAATGGCCCATACAGCTAGGAGGGGAGGCGGCGCAGTGGAGGGGGCGATGGCAGAGTAGAGGGACTTGGTGGAGAATTGCCCCGATGGTTCAAGGCGCCACCGAACCTCGTCCGGGCTGGTATCGACATCCGGCACATGGAGGGCAATGCAATCAAGAAGCTCCTGCCAAGAGGCAGCTTCCGGAGGCCCAAATGGCCTCCAGAACACGAGGCGCTCTAAGTCAATAAGGGCCCGTTCGACGAAGATAGTCGGGATGACAGCAATGGAGAAGAGATCGGGGTACCGAGCTGCGAAGGGGGAGTCGCCCGCCCAGCGGTCAAACCAGAACATGGTCGCCGATCCCGATCCGACCGCTATGGAGGTCCCAATACGGAGGACGGGAAGCAACTGGATGACAGACAACCAAAATTGGGATCCCCCGGATCGCTGACAGAAGGCCAAAGGTTGGCCACGTAGGTATTTATTCCGGATGATGTCTACCCACAGCCCACCATGACCTTGCGAGATGCGCCAAAGCCAGCGTGAAAGGAGCGCGATATTCATGCGCATCGAGCACATGATGAAGGAAATATGCCCTAGAGGCAATAATAAAGTTATTATTTATTTCCTTATATCATGATAAATGTTTATTATTCATGCTAGAATTGTATTAACCAGAAACATAATACATGTGTGAATACATAGACAAACAGAGTGTCACTAGTATGCCTCTACTTGACTAGCTCGTTGATCAAAGATGGTTATGTTTCCTAACCATAGACATGAGTTGATTAATGGGATCACATCATTAGGAGAATGATGTGATTGACTTGACCCATTCCGTTAGCATAGCACTTGATCGTTTAGTTTGTTGCTATTGCTTTCTTCATGACTTATACATGTCCCTATGACTATGAGATTATGCAACTCCCGTTTACCGGAGGAACACTTTGTGTGCCACCAAACGTCACAACGTAACTAGGTGATTATAAAGGTGCTCTACAGGTGTCTCCGAAGGTACTTGTTGGGTTGACGTATTTCGAGATTAGGATTTGTCACTCTGATTGTCGGAGAGGTATCTCTGGGCCCTCTCGGTAATGCACATCACTTAAGTCTTGCAAGCATTGCAACTAATGAGTTAGTTGCAGGATGATGTATTACGGAACGAGTAAAGAGACTTGCCGGTAACGAGATTGAACTAGGTATTGAGATAACGACGATCGAATCTCGGGCAAGTAACATACCGATGACAAAGGGAACAACATATGTTATTATGCAGTCTGACCGATAAAGATCTTCGTAGAATATGTGGGAGCCAATATGAGCATCCAGGTTCCGCTATTGGTTATTGATCGGAGACGTGTCTCGGTCATGTCTACATTGTTCTCGAACCCGTAGGGTCCGCATGCTTAAGGTTTCAATGACAGTTATATTATGAGTTTATGAGTTTTGATGTACCGAAGGAGTTCGGAGTCCCAGATTAGATCGGGGACATGACGAGGAGTCTCGAAATGGTCGAGACGTAAAGATCGATATATTGGACGACTATATTCGGACATCGGAAAGGTTCTGAGTGATTCGGGTATTTTTCGGAGTACCGGAGAATTACGGGAATACGTATTGGGCCTTATTGGGCCATACGGGGAAGAAGGAAAAGGGCCTTAAGGGTGGCCGCACCCCTCCCCTTGGTCTGGTCTAAATTGGACTAGGGAAGGGGGCGCCCCCTTCCTTCTCCTTTTCCCTTGCTCTTTTCCTATTCCATATGGGAGGTGGAATCCTACTAGGACTAGGGAGTCCTAGTAGGACTCCACACTTGGCGCGCCCCCTCCTAGGGCCGGCCTCCTCCTCCCTTGCTCCTTTATATGCGGGTGCAGGGGGCACCCCAAAGACACAACAATTGATCATTGCTCTCTTAGCCGTGTGCGGTGCCCCCCTCCACCATAATCCTTGATAATATTGTAGCGGTGCTTAGGCGAAGCCCTGCAACGATAGAACATCAAGATCGTCACCACACCGTCGTGCTGATGGAACTCTTCCCTGACATTCTGCTGGATCGGAGTCCGGGGATCGTCATCGAGCTGAACGTGTGCTAGAACTCGGAGGTCCCGTAGTTTCGGTGCTTGATCGGTCGGGCCGTGAAGACGTACGACTACATCAACCGCGTTGTGCTAACGCTTTCGCTTCCGGTCTACGAGGGTACGTAGACAACACTCTCCCCTCTCGTTGCTATGCATCACCATGATCTTGCGTGTGCGTAGGAAATTTTTTGAAATTACTACGTTCCCCAACAGTGGCATCCGAGCCTAGGTTTTATGCATTGATGTTATGCACGAGTAGAACACAAGTGAGTTGTGGGCGATATAAGTCATACTGCTTACCAGCATGTCATACTTTGGTTCGTCGGCATTGTTGGATGAAGCGGCCCGGACCTACATTACGCGTACGCTTACGCGAGACTGGTTCTACCGACGTGCTTTGCACACAGGTGGCTGGCGGGTGTCAGTTTCTCCAACTTTAGTTGAACCGAGTGTGGCTACGCCCGGTCCTTGCGAAGGTTAAAACAGCACCAACTTGACAAACTATCGTTGTGGTTTTGATGCGTAGGTAAGAACGGTTCTTGCTAAGCCCGTAGCAGCCACGTAAAACTTGCAACAACAAAGTAGAGGACGTCTAACTTGTTTTTGCAGGGCATGTTGTGATGTGATATGGTCAAGACATGATGCTAAATTTATTGTATGAGATGATCATGTTTTGTAACTAAGTTATCGGCAACTGGCAGGAGCCATATGGTAGTCGCTTTATTGTATGCAATGCAATCGCGCTGTAATGCTTTACTTTATCACTAAGCGGTAGCGATAGTCGTGGAAGCATAAGATTGGTGAGACAACAACGATGCTACGATGGAGATCAAGGTGTCACGCCGGTGACGATGGTGATCATGACGGTACTTCAGAGATGGAGATCACAAGTACAAGATGATGATGGCCATATCATATCACTTATATTGATTGCATGTGATATTTATCTTTTATGCATCTTATCTTGCTTTGATTGACGGTAGCATTATAAGATGATCCCTCACTAAATTATCAAAGTATAAGTGTTCTCCCTGAGTATGCACCATTGCGAAAGTTCTTCGTGCTGAGACACCACGTGATGATCAGGTGCGATAGGCTCTACGTTCAAATACAACGGGTGCAAAACAGTTGCACACGCGGAATACTCAGGTTAAACTTGACGAGCCTAGCAT